CATGAACATGTGTTTATAAGTGGGAGCAATCCTCACTCTACCAACCGGTTTTGTAGGGTTGAGTTAGGCCCAACCACATTTCTTAATAAAGAATGCTATAATTGAAATAAATATTTTTTTCAAGTAGTATAATCGTTGTTGAAATTTCATTTTTCAAAGGTAAATAAATAAGATTCCGCAAGTTCGAATTTGCACTCTTATATTTAATGTTCTTGCGCAACTATCAATTGAATTGATTTAATAGAATTAAAAGAAATATTTAAATACATTAGTCTTTTTACAACTAAAACTTTATTTAAAAAGTATTAAAAAGAAAGAAAAAATGAGAGGAAATCAATCAAATGGAAACAAATAAAATATTTTTTTTCATATTATTGAAGATAGCTAAAAATTAAAAAAAGAAAAGAAAAAAAGAATGCTAAAGAGTTAAATTTGTATTGAAATTAATAATTTTAAAGTTCTAGAAAAGTTATACATTATTTTTAATATAATTTCTTCTAGAGTCAAATATTAATATTTCTAAACTACACTTTCTTTCTTTGAATGTGAGTGCTACAAAGTGCATTGAAGATACCTTGGAGTTAGTTGTTTTAGGTTCTTTGACTGACTTGTCTTTAAGTTTGCTGCCTTCTTCATTATTTCAGGGAGGAAGGTCTTGAGTTATTTCTTTCCTTTCTTCTTTATCTTCCGCATTTGTTCCTGTGACAACTTCCTTTTCTTTGATTTGGGTAGAAGGGTCAATGGTTGACGTGGCTTATCTTTCTTAAGTTTGGATTTTTTGGGAGTGTTCTTCTTTGGCTGACTGGCATTCCGCTTGGGAGAGATTTAAGTTTCAACCTTGAGAAGATAAAAGTTTCCTCTATCTCTTTCGAGCTTTCTTTTTCATCCTGAATCGTTGTTGGCTTTGAAGTATCCTGGAAAGACTAAGTCGAATCAAATAAACATTGTTTACAAGATCACAAGAGAAAGTGGATATCAAGGATGTACTTGTGCAAAGGTGGTTGTAGACTTCTTTTTATTTTTGGATTTTTTTGTAGGGGAGTCGGGATCGCGCTTTCAATTCTGAAAAGTAAAATTGTGAAAACTAGTTCAAGTAATAAAGAAATCAAAGAAGAAAGAAATACGTTTTTCTTGGGCTCTTCTGCTTTCTTCGCTTCTCCTATGCTAGAAGGTCCTTTGATATTGATGTCAGCTAGTGCTTCAGATTCGCATTAAAATCGAGCTACGAGAAAGGCATAAACGAAAATAAGCTAAAAGACAATGACACACACACACACACAACACACACACACACATACACACACCTTGTTGTTCTTGAGTTTCTGGCATGTCGGAGAAGGCAACTAAAAGCCTCTTTCGAAAATCTTCTTCTGAAAAGTGGTCAATAAAATACTTCGTCCACCAACTTGGAATTCGACTGTCATATAAAATGATTGTTGAAACTGGAATGTAGGAAGTTCAAGGACTTGGATGCAGACAAATGTAGTGTAAGATTTGTAGTCTGTGATACTGAATTTACGTTCGACCAACAAATGTCCTCTTCCCAAACATACAGTGAGCGGGGTTGAAATTGCCAAAGCCAAATTGTCTGGCTACTATGTTGGGCTGATAACCAACGAAGCAATATCACGGAGTTCCAAATTCAATCCTTGTAGATAGAAGTGTAAGGGTCAAAAAGGCTGCCTAAACTGATTTCAACACGACAACTGCTGAAGAAGAAACACCTAGGAATCTGTTCCTAAGCAAGGACAAACCTACACGACGATCCATAAACGGAGCCATAAATGAGGTAAAGTCGGCCGATTAAAGAAATAAGTTTATGTATTTCATGAATATCCTCGACAAAGAAGTTTCTTGCAGAGTAGTCAGAGCCCGAGGAGGTGGTTATATGATGTTTTGGCTTGAAAATGGCGTTTAGCCAAAGTTGTAAGAGCCATAAGTGACCTAAGATCAGGTAAGCCTTGTTGGTTTTAGGGAGATGTTTTAGTTTGTAGGAGGCTTCTCCAAGTGACTGGTAGAGGTTAGCCAAGAGGAGTTTGCTTAAAGACATCTTTCGACCTTCACGAAGTTGGATGGCTAGATGTACGAATTTTGTAGCCACTTGCATAGAACTAGAGCATAAAACGTAGTATGATAGCCAAAAAGTCAAAAAAAACTATGTGCTCTTGGTCGAAGACTTTAGTGTTTTCCTTGTCATGATTGTTGAGGATGAAGTTCTTGAAACTAAAGCATTCGATGGTGAACTGATTGTTGATTTCTAGGGTCGGAGTGAAAGTTGCGCCAAAAGGACTTAAGCCTGTGATGGATGCCAAATTGAATAAGGTCGGTGTTAGCATACCGCATGGAAACTGGAAAGTGTTGGTCGATTCTTCCCAAAAGAAGATCGAAGCCAATAACATGGTTGGGTTATACTTAGGGCTAGTATTAGAAATTTTAACCATGTCGTAAATCCCTAAATCCTGCTATGGAAGAAGTTGAAGTGAAGAAAAAGAACAAAAGAGCTAAAACTGTGTATTTATAATCTTCTCATTGCATGTCCCAAATCAGACACATGGCATCCGCGTGGGGGGTTCCTAAAACGTTTCGCGGGTTACGAACCGAAGCATTGATGTGGGTGGGGGCAGTTATTGCAGACGCGCACACCCATGACTTCCTAGGAAGTAGAAGTGATGATAAGATTCTGAGCAGATCTCATTGAAAATGACAATGCGCCATAAAAAGAGCAATGATGACAATGACGTTGGCAGAAGTGAAAACGTTGTCGAAAAATACGATAAAAAAGCCCATGTCTCTCTTGTCTGATATAAATCGAAACATGGCCTTTTGGGAGCAATTTGTTACCTTGGATTTTTCAAATCAACTATAAATGGCAAGTGAAGACAATAAATATGCCAAGAGCTTAAATTAAAGAGTCAGATAGAAATCAAGAGCTAAATGAATGTTGAAGATTATACTTGGTGTCACTAGTTGCGCAGTTGGAAGTCGATGAGCAATATTAAAATCCAGGACTTAGTGGAAATTTTGAGTATGTTGGCTGGTTATCGCTTGGTTGAGTATTATGCTATGTTGGCTAAGATTGGAGTTCATCATTACAATGGAAACAATGTTAAATAGGTACTGCATGTGGAAAGTACTACAGAGTGTGTTGTTCCAACGTCATCGATCTTAGTGATTTCGACGTAGTTGGGTTGATTCCTGATGACTAGTAAAAGTAGTTAAGATATTTGAATGGTGTGGAAAGAGTGGGACGCATACGGTTACTCAAAGACACGTGGAAACTCGTCATAGGCAACGACTGCATGAGATTGAAAGGTTTCGTGATTGAGTTAACCGTCCGTTCTTAGGTAGTTATTTTAGAGTAGTATATAAAGGGACTCACATTCATATTATAAAGGGTCCGTAATTGTACTCATATTTCTGTAAACTCAATGTATTTGCGTATTTGAGAAACGAGTGAAGAAAATATACGTATGCATTCCACTATTTATAAATTTCAAGCAATTTTACATTCAAACTCTTTTCCTGCATTAAATTACATTTCGAATTTGCATTATAATTCTTGTTATTTTATCTCGTCTTGCATTTCTTTTCCAATCACTTTTGTTTTCAAAACCTTGTGTTTCAATTCTTATTCACAAGTGCATTGTTACTTTTCAAATGTCATCTTTCGATTTCAACAGTAAGATGTTGTTCAAATTTTTAAATGCACACAAACAAATATGTTTCGAGAGATTTTCGAGTTTAATCCCTAAATATTAATAGAAACTTGTTTTTTTTTACCAAATTTCCAAATAAACTATGATTTAATTTCGTAAAAGTTAGATAATAAACCCTATTCATGGTCCAATTTTTTCACAACTATCCTATATAAACCCACAATCTTAATACATGTAAGCAAATATCCTCCGAAAGAATATCCACCAAACTTCCATCCAATAATATTAGTCTAAAATTTTTATTAACCAATTGATTTGTTCAATTTTTTTCTTTTCCTCCTTTAATGAAAAAGAATATCATTAATAATTTCTTTTGTTTTTATTATAACAAAAAATTTACTTTTTAAATATATTAAATAATAAATGAATCTAGTCCATATATAATTCTTTGATAAATGATATCATTAATAATTCTTTCGATAAAAAGAATTATTTTTTAAATACATCAAATAGTTAATGTATTTAATCTATATATACTCATTAAATAATGTATGTAAAAAATAATTTTTTTATGATAAATAAAAAACTGATAACTTAAACTCATTCTTTTCTATAATTATATAGAATATTTTTTTATAATTATAATTTTGACTCATATTTTATTTTGATAATTGATAAGAGTCGGTTAACAAGTGTTAAAAGAATATTATAATTAGAATATTTTTTTATCAAATAATATAGTGATTAAAATTTTATTTATTAAAAATAAATAAGTAAAATTTTGTAGATTCAAATATATATTTTTATATTTAAATTCTTGCACAACTATCCATGACTTAAAAGGATTGAAAGAAATATTTAAATATATTAGTCTTTGTTACAACTAAAACTTTATTTAAAAAGTATTAAAAAGAAAGAAAAAATGCGAGGAAATCAATAAAATGAAAACAAATAAAATAAAAAAGTCTTCATAAAAGTAAAAATAATAAAATGCTAAAAAGTTAAATTTTGTATTGAAATTAATAATTTAAAAATTCTAGAAAAGTTATACATTATTTTTAATATAATTGTTTTTGAGTCAAATGTTTATATTTCTAAACTAAACTTTCCTTAAAATAACTTTTCCAAGTTACTACAATAATAAGAAACGCATATCAAAGCTTTCATTTTCATTCCCTTTCTCTGTTCTCTCTGCATTTATATTTATTCATGTCACTGCAACAAGAAACCATTTTTCAATCTTCCCCAAATTCCATTTTTCAACAAACCTATTGATTCCATCTTCTTCAAATTTTCAAAATTTTCTTCCATTTTTGTAGTTAAAGTTAAAACCAAAATATAAAGATGAAGAAGGTAAAGCTTGAATTTTTTACACTATCCAATAGACTCACACTGATTCAAATTTTCACGTTGTTGATGCTTATCTACATGCTCTTCATGAGCTTTGAAATTCCCTTAGCTTTCAAAGCAGGGGTTGGTTCAGAAAAAGTTGCTATTGGGTTTCTCACCGACTCAATGCCGCTTTTGGCAGAACAAAACCGCCAAGAAATTCGACCCTTTGGGTTTCGGTTACAGAAAGTTTCAACTTTGAGCTTCAACAAGAGTTTTGATGGTGCATCAGAGCTTCAGAAGGTAGCAAAACAAGCTTACATTTCGGGGAAGAAGTTATGGGAGGAAGTTGAGAGTGGTAAAGTTAAGAGCTTTTCGGGTTTTAGAGTCGAAAACAGTTCGGATACTTGTTTGAATTCGGTTTCAGTTTCTGGGTTTGAGTTTAGAGAGAAGATGAAAGGGGTTATGGTTTTGCCTTGTGGGTTGACACTTTGGTCTCATGTGACTGTTGTGGGGACACCACGTTGGGCTCATGGGGAGAGTGATTCGAAGATTGGGGTTGTGAAAGATGGTGATGAGCCTGTGATGGTTTCGCAGTTTATGATGGAGTTGCAGGGTTTGAAAGCGGTTGATAATGAAGAACCGCCAAAGATATTGCATTTTAATCCCAGGCTTAAAGGGGATTGGAGTGGGAAGCCTGTTATTGAGCAGAATACTTGTTATAGGATGCAATGGGGTACTGCTCTTCGTTGTGAGGGATGGAAGTCTCGTGCTGATGAGGAAACTGGTAAGGTTGAAAATTCCTTTTTTATATACATGCATGTGTTTGTGTTTGTGTTTTATACTTGAATTAGGGTCTTTCAATGCCAACTAGTGCTGTTATCCCCGCAGATTAGGCCTTTAAGGCTGCGATACGTCTGATCCTCAAGTTGGTGCGAGGTCATTTTGATTTTCTTACACGGGTTTAGGCTGTCCGAATGGGCAATCACAGGAACCGAACTTAGTTTTCTTTCTTTCTAGGGAGAGTCATGTTATCAACTCTTTCAATACCATATTTCATGTTTTTCAATTGAGTTTTGGATAAGAGGTTTTTCATTACAACGGAGATTGAGTATCATGTGTTTCTATGAAGGTCCTATAGTCTTACAATTTCACAAATAGAATCTTTAGTGATAAAATTGGTTTGGCCCTCAATTGTAAAAAAGATGGGAGGGTTGTCTTAGGCGGTTTGGGGTGTGTGGAAAACACTTAGCCGCCATAGGGAGTTTCTGGTCAAATGAAGAATAGTCCAATAGCTAGAGATAGACATAGACATGGACTAAAGAAAATTGCATGTCAAACAATTAAGATGCATTTAGAGGTGAATGGTTTATCTTTGGACTTAAGAAGTGATAGGAATTTGTGACTTTGACTTATCCATGTAGTTGACTTTGTGATAGGGGCTTATGGCACCGATTAATACATGTAGCCGACTCCAATTAATGAAAAAAAATTAGGGTGGTTATTATTTTTTACTATTGGTAAATTCTATCTCAAAAGTCCAACTTTTATAAAAAAATTTAGGGTGGTTATTATTTTTGACTATTGGTAAATTCTATCTCAAAAGTCCAACTTTTCTAAAGATGCGGATCATTGGTGATAATGTAATACTATAGTTTTTGATGACTGAGGATCAAGTTTTATTGATATTATTCGCTCATTCTCTTATCTGAATGATTACATTTTCAGGGTTTGTTTCTTATTTTTCTCCTTCTACATATGTAATACAAAACGATTGAGAAATAGAATAGGAGGTAAACAATTAAATTCCAGTTGGGTGGCTGAAATGGACGATGGGTTTTGGGGTTTTATGTGACAAAAATACCGGTCAAATTGAAGGGAAAATTTTATCTGACGGCGGTAAGACTTGAGATGTTGTACAGTGCAGCGGTTAAGAATCAAATCGAGAATAAACTAAGTGTAGCAAAGATGAGGATGTTGTGTTGATTGTGTGGTAAGACTAGACGTGATAAGATTAGAAATGATAATATTATAGAGTCTATTGGGGTGGCACCTATAGTAGAAAAAATGGTAGAAAGTAGACTTAGGTGGTTTGAGTATGTAGCGAGAAGAACGGTAGTTTTTGTTTTAAGGAGAGTAGATAAGATGGAGAGGAGTCAAACAACTAGAGGAGCTAGAGGAAGACCTAGAAAAATTATAAGAGAAACTAGTAAGAAAGATCTCGAGATTAACGAATTGTATAGAAACATGGTCTTGGATAAAATATTTTGGTGGAATTTGATCCATGTAGCTGATTCCATTTATTGGGATCAGTCTTGGTTGTTGTTGTTGGATGTCTTGTTACAAGGGACCTTAATTTCTCTGCTGATTTTTGTCATGTTATGAAGTTGATGGACAGGTGAAATGTGAAAAATGGATTCACGATGATGATAACCGATCAGAAGAGTGGAAGGCGACATGGTGGTTGAACAGACTAATGGGTCGGAAAAAAGTCGTGCATGTGGACTGGCCATTTCCTTTTGCTGAAGGGAAGTTATTTGTTCTAACCATAAGTGCTGGCTTGGAAGGTTATCATATCACTGTGGATGGGAGGCATGTGACGTCCTTTCCATATCGCACAGTAAGTACAAACTTTGATGTCAGATACACAGTTCTTTGGTTTTTGTGCATAATTTTGAAATGTGTAACTTGTAAAAGATACAAAAGTAAGAGACAACACAACACAGCACGTGCAGTGTCATTTTGATGTTCAAATAACACAAGTCATTTTGATGTTCAAATAACACAACTATATTCGATATCTCTTGCTGTATGAATCTTGTATTCACATTTTGCAGGGCTTTGCTCTTGAGGATGCTACTGGACTATCAATTAATGGGGACGTCGATGTGCACTCTATATATGCTGCTTCCTTACCTACATCACATCCTAGCTTTGCTCCGCAGATGCATCTTGAATTGCTTCCTCAGTGGAAGGCTCCACCTATTCTTGGTGTGAATGTCGAGCTTTTCATTGGTATCCTTTCTGCTGGAAACCATTTTGCAGAACGTATGGCAGTTAGGAAGTCATGGATGCAACATAAGCTAATCAAATCCTCACATATTGTGGCTCGGTTTTTCGTAGCCTTGGTAAGAGTAGCCGCATCTTATCCACCACCAATAATGATAAAAAAAATCCACAAATAGTTTACACATTGTTCTGATCTTACTGTTTTTCTATTTTGCATATTATAGCATACAAGGAAAGATATAAACGTGGAAATAAAGAAAGAAGCTGAGTATTTCGGCGATATTATTATAGTCCCGTACATGGATCATTATGACCTTGTTGTTTTGAAGACCATAGCTATATGTGAATATGGGGTAAATGATCGGAGAGGAGAAAATGCTGCTTATTCGTATTTGTATACATTGTTAAGTTGCGATATTATTGGTTGTTGACGAACACGGTTTGTTGCAGATTCGCACAGTGGCTGCCAAGTATATAATGAAGTGTGATGATGACACATTTGTTAGAGTGGATTCTATCATAAGCGAGACAAGAGAATTTGGAAGTGATGAAAGCCTTTATATGGGAAATATGAATTACCATCACAGGCCTCTTCGCGATGGGAAATGGGCTGTAACCTACGAGGTATATCTTCTATTTTGGTTTCTCTGCTTGCTTTCTGCGGCGATCATTTGAACTTATCTACCGGCCAAAAACACCTGTGAGATGTTTGGAAAGAGCATATGACATGTTTAATTTCTAATTTTCATTTTCTTGAACAACTTTTAGGAATGGATAGAGGAAGAGTATCCTCCCTATGCTAACGGTCCAGGTTACATCGTCTCATCTGACATTGCTCAGTTCATTGTATCCGAATTTGAACAGCAAAGATTAAAAGTAAGTCTGTGTTTTGAATCTTCTGATACACGCCGCGAAAATCTCTTGACCCATAACTAATTTAACTGACTCAATGCAGTTGTTTAAAATGGAAGACGTGAGCATGGGAATGTGGGTAGAGAAATTCAACAGCTCAAAAGAAGTAGAATATGTTCACAGTTTCAAGTTCTGCCAATTCGGTTGCATCGAAGATTACTACACCGCACATTACCAATCGCCGAGACAAATGACATGCATGTGGGATAAATTGCAACATCAAGGTAAACCACTATGCTGCAACATGAGATGACAAAGACAGAACCACCACATCTAGGAAAGTTACAATGTCATGATAATGCTAAGTTATGTAAATTAGCCTTCTTTCGAGGCGGTTTTGCTCAGCCTATCAGTTAGTTGTTTTTGCCCATATTTGAATGAACCATTCTCTCACCTTAAAGAATAGAATAGATAGTATAGGCATGTTACATATATATATTGAGGGGGAGAGAGGGAGAGTGAAAGTTGGGTACTACAGCGATTGATCAAAGGATCAAACCAATGGGTTGTATTTGTAGTGTAGACTGTAGAGAAAGCTGAATAAAATTTGTTTTTTTTCCTTTCACTTCATTTTCATATGATCTTTCATATATTTTAAGTTACTTGTTATACATTTTTGGGGAAGGTATGACTTACACGGTAAATATAATCAAATAGACCTCTTAAAAATGTGTGTTTGGGCTTAACTCAACGCTACAAAACCGACTAGTAGGGTGAGGATTGGAGCATTTAACTTGCCACCTCTCAGTTGTATTTGACACCCTCACATTTAGAGCAATTTTACCACTATACCCTTCATCGAATATCGGAATTTTGAGTATTTATCAAAAATTTGAGAAAATTACTTTTTTTTTTTTTTTACCAAAACAAAGGCAAAAGCACCGATAATTTGAAATTTCTGGTATATACATACCAGAACTTTTGAATTTTCCGGTGAAACATATAATCTTTTATTGGAAATTGTGAAAATCTTGAGAATTATAACAAAATTAAGAAAATTGTGGAATTTCCGGTATTTGCCAGAAAATTGTAAAATTTTTGATATACAGTGAGTAAAAATTGTTCATTTTTTCCTATATTAATTTTTCTAGAATAACTGATTCTATAAAAAAAACTATCCAATGAAATATATACATTTAATGAAAACGGTTACATACAAGAATACAAAATAAATTAGGATGACTTCCTAAAAATAAATTAGGAAGACTTCCTAACTTCATCTTCTCAGTGCCTAATGCGTCCTGCATTTGTTGATTTCTAAGTTTTTGCATCTTCAGTATAGTACTGTCTCCAAGGATTAGTAACGAAAGATAATGAACAATCAAGTTTCAATTTTATCTGAACTCAATGATTGTTGTTGACAAAATCAACATCAATGATTTTATGTCTGCTCGTATACATAGGTGGGGCTAAGGCGAGAAGGAAAAATGTGATGTTAAGTTTCTTTGATATAGAGAGCAATATGGCATTATATCTACAAGCAATAGGGTAACCCATATCAGGAATCATCATCCATTTAGCAATATCGTGCGCACCAAAGTGTTCTACTCGTAACGCATTCCTAACTGTAGAGACCGTGTCACAGAACAAATTGAAAAACAATTGAGGGTGTTGATGAACTTGAGTATATCCAAGTAAAACTACAATAGCCAGAAAACCATAATTTTCATCATCACCCACATCAACAATGCCATCAATGTATGGATGTAAGAAATCAGAAAATTGAGACAAGTAAACATCTCTTGAAGATGCAGTGGATGATTTAGTTCTAGCCGGAATACTTGACGGTTGACTTCCAATTGGTTTTTGTTCATGATCTACTTGTAGTCTGAATTCCCTGTGAGCCCTCATCATACTCCCACTGTGAAAGATCACAATGCACGTCACTCTCTTGACCGTTTCTGCTCTTCTTAACTTCCCTCTTTGGCTTGTATTTCATCGGCGCTGGACATATAAAAGTTGTAGATGAATGTGCTAGTTCTCGAACCTTTTTCTTCAACACCCTTTTGTGGAGGCAAATCGCCACATATCACACAAATCTGCAAGACATTGGTAAATGCAGGTTTCGATGATGACAAATTCCCAGGATAGACTGGAAAGTATGAGTTCCAGATCCACTAAACCAGATGCAACATATCACCCATCATATTCTCCTTTTGCTTGTCTTAAATTTTCTAAAATGAATATACTTTGAGTTGACAAAATGCAATCATGACTAAAGGCATGAAAAACTTCAAAGTAATGAAATTTTGCAGGCTTGCAGGACATGGGTCGACCATAGGGTCGGCGTATCCATCAGAAAAAGGGGAAAATCAGTCAGCGCACAATGCATGCGTCGACCATAGGGTCAGCGCATGAAGGAATGATATTCCAGCGGGTCAACGCATAAAAGCATTGGTCGACCATAGGGTCGGCGCACAAAGGAAAAGAATTTCAACGGGTCAGCGCACGCCGACTGTATGGTCGACGCACACTGATGAAATTTCCAGAAATTCAAAACATCACAGGCCATGCGGCGACGCACAGACCTGTTATGGTCGACCGTTCGCGCGGAAAAACTGTTTTAAATTTGTTCCCTCTCATATTTGAAATACTGTTATGTCCTGAATTTTGTGGGCACTATATATACTTGCTTAAACACTTGTGTCTACTAACATTTGACATTCTTTTGATTCATGTGTTCAAAAACAAGAAAGAGTGAAATAGGTGTCCAAGATTCATCATCTTCATCTTCAACATCTTACAACATTTCAATTACACACAATCATTTTTGAAATGCATTTGTAAGAGATTCAAGGTGATAAGGTTCGAGGCTTAGATTGGAGAATCAAGCTCGGGTTGAAGATTGCGACAGGTTCTTTCTTGAATAAAACCATTGGGGTTTTGCCCTCCAAGATTGGTTCGAATTTTGGGGGGTTTTTGGACGAGGTTCTTCATCAACGATCAATCGAGCGAAGGTGATTGTGAAGAGTTGGTCTTCACAAGTCTAGTAGCGGCTTCAGTGATTTTGAAGGGAAGATCTCGGGTTCGATTTGGTGCTGTTGAGATCAGCCGGAGCCAAAGGTTTGAACAACAACGTGTTCTTCAATAAGGTGGCTGGAATCGGAGGTCCATCAACACAAATCGAAGAACTTGATTCATCTTGAATCAAGGGGCAAGGAGTGAAGGCAACTTTCAACACATAGAGATTTTTGTTGTAATTTTTGCTGTTCAATCCTTGTATAAAATGTACATTCAAACAGGTGATATCTATTCAATATATCTCAATTCTAGTTTTAGAATTGAGGGCAGACGTACCCCGAAGCGAGGACGACGGGGGAACTGCCTCACGAAATTACTTGTCTTCTTTATTTTCAGCATTTTCGTTATAGCTCAAATAAGTAATTTTTGTGTAAGCTCTATTGTCAAAATTGTGATATCAATTGAGTAAGAGATTAAAACGCTGTTTTTAACTCTAACGTACAACAAAACGTTGTACTAGGCTGATTGAAATTACTTACTCAACATAAACATCACTTGGAGTGTCTTTGCACACCAAGTGTTTGACATATTGCTTGAACCAAAATTATCTTACTTGTGTATCTAGTTTTGGTTTGATTTTGAATCATTGGAACTAGGTAACCTTACAACTGAAGTAAATAATTGATAAGCATAGTTTGTGTTGTGATTCTATTTTTCCGAATTGTCATAAATCCATAGGCTTACGTATATCCGGTTTTCCAATAACCGTTCGTTTTAGACTATAATTTTCCTCGGCCGCTTCCGCACTTAAAACATTTTTAAAACCAATTTTTGAATTGGTAGCGCTGACTCAAATTTTAATTGGGGATCTATTCAACCCCCCCTTCTAGATCCGTGCCATAGTCTAACAAGTGGTATCTAGAGCTCCGGTTATTTGGTGCTTCAAATACAACGAGATAGAAAATGGCAAACGAACCTAAAGGGGCGTACAATAGGGCTCCTGTTTTCAACGGTGAAAATTATAGTTATTGGAAAGACTGTATGCGTGTGCATATAAACTCCATAGACAGAAAAATATGGAACGTTATCCTCAATGGTCCAATAGAAATTACTATGACCAATGCGGATAATGTAGTTGTGCCAAAGCCTGAAGCACAATGGACCGATGACGATGAGAAAAAATACAATTATGATTGGAAAGCTAAAAACATCTTAATCTCCTCATTAGGTGTAGATGAATACTATCGTGTATCCCATTGTCCTACTGCTAAGGCCATGTGGGATTCACTACAAATAGCCCATGAGGGGACAAACAATGTTAAGTTGGCTAGAATCAATACATTAACTCAAGAGTTTGATCTCTTTTTCATGGAGCAAGGGGAAACCATTGTTGACATGCAAAAGAGATTTACTCATCTCATCAATCGTTTACATTCATTAGGTAGGCCTGTTTCCAATGATATTGCTACTAATAAGATCTTAAGATGTCTTAACAGGGAATGGCAGCCTAAAGTGACCGCCATCAAAGAAGCTCATGATCTTACCTTATTAGATTTAACAACATTGTTTGGCAAATTACAAGAGCATGAACAGGTACTCTTGAGCTTAGACCAACGTGAAAAGATGGAAAAGAAAGACAAAACGAAGGTGAGTGAAAAAAAATCGATAGCTCTCAAGACTTCCTCCTCGAAGTCTCAAGCAAAAGAGCAACATGATTATTCCTCGAGCGACGAAGAAGAAGAGAACACACACGAAGATATGGGGTTGTTTGTTAAACGGTATAACCATTACGTGAGAAAGAACGACATCCAACATTCCGAGAAAAACTTGGTAAACTTCCGGAAACAATCGAGACACTCCAAGGATGATGACTCAAAAGGTAAAAAGACTAGAGGGACGTGCTACAAGTGTGGAAAGCCCGGTCACTACAAACCGGACTGTCCAATGAATAAAAAGGGAAAGGACAAGGAATCATCAAAATCACACAAGAAAGCATCAAAGCCTAGGAGATCGTACATAGCATGGGAAAGTGACAGCGATTCTTCCTCCTCTGATGAAAGCTCTAGTGATGAAGAAGAGTCCGTGAATCTATGCCTCTCCGCCAATCAGAAAAATAAGAAAAAACAGGTACGTCACTCTAAATATGATAAGTCCTCAAATATGTCGCATTCAGAATTACAAACCGCATTTCATGCCTTACATAATGAAGCAGTTGAAGCCTTCAAGAAACTTGCTTCTAATAAGAATTTTTTTACGTATTTAGAGCATAAAGTTAAAGAGTCCGAAAAGAAA